TGTCCTTAGGCCCATGACTAGGAATCCAGACTTTCTCCTGAGGATGAGGAAACACTTCTCCAGTCCTGAGGCAACATCAGGAAGCATTGGGTAAACACAGGGAGAGTCCCTCAGGGCACAGAGACGCTCTGAGCACCACTGTCTTCAGAGTTGTGGTGGACAAGTGGTTGCTGAGACACGGCCAAGGGGAGCACGGGACTGTATAGGCCTGACTCTACAGCAGCATGGTTTCCTCTGCCTCTGAGTCGGTAATGTCCCTGCCCTGCAGAGATACCTCTTCAATCCTGGGATGTTGCTCCACACGCGCACAGCATTCTGGAGGACTCTGCCACGGACATCCCGGAGGGTCACAGCCTCCGTCTGTGGAAGAAGAGGGGGCTGTGGGTCAGCAGGACACAAAATCTCCTCCCCATGGGACACATAGTCAACAGACCATGTAGGCTGGCCACACCTCCTCTGTGGCACTACTCACAGGGTACTTATTTCTCCTTACATAACTATGAAGAACTAAACCTGGGGACCACTTTAATCAGCTCTATAAAAATAATTTTTAAAACCACTGAAATAGGTTATATTCTAGGATAACTTTCCAAAACAATGACTTCTGAAAAGACAAAAATCTCTGGTTAGTGGTGGCGCACGCCTTTAATCCTAGCACTTGGGAGGCAGGGGCAGGAGGATCTGTGAGTTCAAGACCAGCCTGGTCTACAGAGTGAATTCCAGGACAGTCAGGGACACACAGAGAAACGCTGTCTCAAAAAACAGGAAAAAGTCATTATCTTCATAGATGGGCTTCCATAGACTTTCTTCCTTCCTTCCTTCCTTCCTTCCTTCCTTTCTTTCTTTCTTTCTTTCTTTCTTCCTTTCTTTCTTTCACAGATAACGTCCTCCTCTGCCAGGACTAAAAGTAAAAGCATGTGCCACTGCACCCAGCTCACAATTTTTTGTTTGTTTTTTAAGTACCAAGCGATACAATTTCATAGAATTCTTTCACCATATAAAATATTTCTATGAACCAGATTCAACATAGAAACAAAAACCTGACAAGGATCAATCCCACAAAAGAGAAAACCACAGACCAACCTCCTTTTACCCTTGTCAAATCAAAAAGTCCTACTTATAACACTTTCCACAGGTCTCAGCCATGTGTTAAAGTAACACACCATGGCCAAGTGGGTTTTCCTAGGAATGCAAGGATAGTTCATTCCAATCAGCTCTAACCGTATACTATAGCCCTTAATGGATGGGACGGGGTGGGGTATAAACTGGCCACCTCACGAATGTTAAAAAAGAACACAAGAGGCTGGGCACGGTGGTGCACCCCCTTAATCCCAGCACTTGACAAGCAAAGCCTTTCATTCCTGATTGATTTTTCTGTTTAGTACTCAGGGCAATTGTCTAGTGTCTATGAGTCCCCATCCTTTCTACTCCCACAGTAGGCCAAGCTCCCCAACCCGCTGCTGCCACGGTCGCCATTATCTCCTTCTGGGAGGTGAGGGCTCAGCAGGCTTCTTCCTTCCTCGCCGTCTCTCATCTCCTATGTCCTAGACTGTCAGTCATTCCTCGACCTCTCCAGCTATCTATCCGTGACACACTGGCCCCCATGCGGTGTCTGCGCTGATGTTGCAGGTAAAAGGGGAGACGGACAGGCTGTTCAGAACGAGTGCACACGAACATGTAAGTGCATGGAGATGGAGTGGGCATGCATGTCATGTGGTTAGTGTGTTTGGTTTGAGTGGATGTGGTCATGTGTGCAGGCTGTAGGGGAGTATAGGAGGGGGCCGTGGATCTGGCTGGCTGTGACTACATAAGCAGGAGCTGTACAGGGGGAAGGGGCGTGGTGTGTAGGAGGAAGGGGTGTGTTGTGTAGGAGGAAGGGGCGCGGTGTGTAGGGGGAAGGCGAGAGGTGTGTAGGAGGAAGGGGAGTTGCCCTTCAAGGCTGACCCTATGGGGGCCAGTGTCCTGAAAATCTGCAGTCTGTGTCTCAGGTGCCCAATGTCCTTGTGGCCCTGCACACGCCAGGGCAGCAGAGGCCTTAGAAGTGAGGGTCCCAGAGCTGGGTACAGGCTAAGCTCCTACCCCGGATACACCCACCTGAAAGAAGCGGGCTGCCGTGGCTTGGTCATCCTCAGAGAGCAGCAGATTGTCCACAAATATCCAGAAGAAAGGCTGCTGACTCCCTGGGTGAGGTCGAGCGTACTGCAGCATCCGGTGGAATTGGAACATGTACCAGCCTGTGGTGAACCAGGGGAGGGTCAGGACGACACCTCTGCTCTCCCAATGTGAAGATGGGAATGTGAATGTCCCTTTAGTCTAGAGCACCCGACAGCACACTGAGCATGTGCAAATTCACCCGTTAGTTACAGCAGAGCCTGTGAGTTCTGCCTGTCTGAAGGCTGAGGTGGCATGAAGGGATGCGGTGACAGAAGAGAGGAGAAGGTAGAAGTGACAGGATTGAAGACAAGATTCTCAGGTGACTGGAGCTGAAAACAGCCCGTTTCGTGGAACTTACCAGGGCAGCGGTCACAAGAGTAACCTAGGGGCTGTGTTGAGCCGTACACAAGGTCAAAGGGACCCCATTTCTCCACCTAGGGAACACACACATCCTTATTTATGCGACAGTGGTGGCTGAAAGCTGAGCGCTCCCCCACTGGTGGCCAGCATTAGTGCCTCTGTGTCCCTCTCATCTCCCCAATGATGTACCTTGTGAGTGACCCGAACAGACCTCCTAGCTAAGCCTTGGGAGAGATACCCAGACACCAATGGCTCTCAGGAGAAGCTCAAACAGTGGTAGCCTGAGGACATTCCATATCTGAGATTCTTTGCTTTTAAAAGGGGTACTAGTCCTGGAGGGAGAACACATGCTCATTCAGTCTGAGGGATTCCATATCCTTCTGAGAAATTTGAGATTGTGCTGCTAGCCACCAGCTGGGAGCAGACAGCAGGGTGTACGTGGTCTGACGGCCATAAACAGTTCCCACTTAGTACTGGGGGTGGAGATGGGAGGTGGGGGGAGGGGCACTTGCTGGCCAGTTAGGAAGAGAATGAAAACAGCCAGCCCCAATCCTGCCAAGTGCAGACAAACAAGGAGCCCTCCATTTGCACAAGTGGTCCAAGGTCCCTCTCTGCCAATGGCCTCTCTAGCCCTGGATATTTTTGTTTGTTTGTTTGTTTTTCGAGAGACATGGTCTCTGTGTAGCCCTGGCTGTCCTGGAACTCACTCTTTAGACCAGGCTAGCCTTGAACTTTGAGATCTTCTTTGCCTGAGCCTCTCGAGGGCTAGTATTAAAGGGGTGCACCACCATTGCCAGGAGGAACTGTTTCTTAAAAGAGTGTCCAGGGCTGAGCCAGGCAGTGCTGGGACCTTTAGTCTCAGCACTCGGGAGTCAGGGGCAGGTGGGTCTCTCTGAGTTGGGAGGCCAGCCTGTACTGCAGAGCAAGTTCCAGGACAGCCACGGCTACACAGAGAAACCCTGTCTCGAAAACCAAAACCAACCTGATGCAACAAAAAATTTAGTGGCTGGAGAGATGGTTCAGAGGTTAAGAACACTGACTGCTCCTCCAAAGGTCCTGAGTTCAATTCCCAGCATCCACGTGGAGACTCATAACCATCTCTGAGATCTGGTACCCTCTTTGGGTGTGCAGGCATACATGCAGACAGAACACTACATGCATAATAAATAAATCTTAGAAAGTTAGTTCTAAGATGTCCAAGCATGCTTTCCCCAATCTAGAATAGGTTACCACTTTCTTTGACCTTCCCATTTCTCTCAGTAGTGGCATGACTCCTAAATTAGGCCCTAACTTCTTGGCTCTTATGCTCCCTATGTTCCCAACTTCTCTACCTGGAATCCTACAGGGTTCTGGGTTAAAGACGATCACCCCCAACTGTCTATATAAGTAGGCCTAAAAGTAACTTGCTCCCTGCCTATCTCCCTAGCCAGGTCCCCAGGAGGCACGGAAGAGGGTTCCCACCCCAGGGACCAGACAGCATCAGATTTGTGTTTGGAAGACGTTTTCATACGATCAATTGTTGGCTACTCAGCTCAAGACTTGCAACAATGAGATGGTAGTAGGGTGGTGTTGAGCCCCTGCACCCATGCATATCCCCCATCATATGCAGCAGAAACCAGCCACGTGGATTGCAAGGTGTCTAGCTGCTTGCCCCATCGGGGCTGAGGGCCAGCCATGCAGAAGTCAGAAAAGCATTCCACTTCTGCCGGTCCCCCTCTGTGAGGCACAACAGAGCTGACTACACTAGGGGTGGGGGTGGGGCTCCTGCCAGACCCAGGACTCCATGCTGGTCTGAAGACTTCCAGCAGTGTCTTACACCCAGCATGCTCCTTCCTGCCCCTCCAGGCAGGGCTCCCTTCCTCCCATCTTCCTCCCTGTCCTCTCCCTTCCCCCAGGCTCTGCAGTGTCAACACTGGCATGCCTGGCCTTGGCAGCCCCCCCCAACTTACATCTCTCCTCACAACATTCGTGACGTCTTCCAAGAACTTCAGTCTCCCGTCCTCAGAATGAGAGCCACTTTCCAAAAAGCCCAAACTCTTTAGCTCTGGAAGGAGGACAGACAAGATGGACAGAGAGCAGACTGTGGGTTCTGTCCCCGAAGAGTGGGAATGGCATGACAGTGCAAACTTTGCTGTCGTGGGCCAGCAGCTTGATCTCTTCCAGTGTCAGAGCCCAAGGACAAGCTTCCTGAGTGTTTACTTATAAAAGTCATGAAATTTACTGCAAAACTCTCTGTTTCTGAACCATGCTCTCACTTGCTGGCTTAGGCAACGGGGGGGGGCCGGAGGCATCCATATTGGTGTCATCTTTGATCTAGAATGGTGAAACATGGAGCAGGTGGACTTCCTTCAGACCCTGAGAATGAGAGCTTGGGCAAGTCGAGCCCTTGCTGGGTGTCCTTAAGGTATAGTGATATACACTGTCACAAGGGGCCCTTGTGACACACTGTGGGGTCACTGGATACTCTCCTGGTGGCATCCTGAATGGGATGTGACTTAGCCAGAGAGTAGAGCACCTTCAGGGCTCTGTGCGTGCTGAGCACATGGGAATCAGAGCAGTCCAAGGGAGAGGACTCCAGGAGAACACATAGCCAGGTTGGGAGACCCAAGCATAGAAAGAGGGTTCATATGCGTGAGTGGCCTCCTCACCAGCCTCCAGAACCCAGCCTCCTCACCAGCAGTACTTCCCATCTACCCTTGCAGGCTTGCCCCTCCCCCATCCCTGCCTCCTCCTCTTGGGTCCTTGCCCGGGTTCCAGCTCTCTGAGTCTTCCCTCCTTCCTGGGCACACAGTTGGGGGTCTCTGCTTGTCACACCCTTTCCTGGGATACTCAGTTCTCTCAGCTCAAGCAGTCTGAAGAAGCTGGACTGGTGTTCTAGTCTCAATTTCTCCTCCCTGACTCAGGTGTCTGGGGTAACCTAACAGCCAGGCAGAGGACACCAGACCACCGTGAGCTCCTCCTGTCCCCTCTTCTGGAGAGTCATTTGATGTGACTACACTCACCTTTATTAATATTCCCAAAAAGGCTCAGCACCCGCACTGGCTGTCTCTTCCACGCAGATACTGTCTTGTACATCTCTAGAGGGCTTGCCTGGAAAGGAAATAGAGGAAAAAAGGAAAAAGGTGAGAGGATTTGTGCTGGCTGGCTGCTCACGGAGAGCTGGTTGAGTTATAGCTAAGTGGCTCCTGCAGCCATCATTCCCTGGATGGACCGGACTCAGCTGAGAGCCACCTGGGACATGCCTGCCAAGGCCACACTGGCCCTGTAGTGACTAGCGCTGTCCATCCCTCCCCGGAGGCCAGCTCCACCCACTCCCCAGGTCTAGGTCTCTTGTCTGAACATCACATATCTAATGGGAATCAGGGTAGGGTTTCTCTGAAGCTAGAGGACACTGATCCTAGCAGAGGATAGCTCTGTATATCTCAGGCTCCAAGACTCCAGGGGAGCAAAACCGTTCCCATAGCCCAGTAACCCAGGTGACACCAAGGCTGGTGGCCTCTTGCAGCTGTGGGGCTCAGCACACTGTGGCTCCTACTGGCTATGTGCTGCCTTTGCATTCCTCACTGGGTTTTTCCTCCGTGTCCCAACCCCCCAAAACTCCTTCTGAGGACACCCCCACTTCGTGCTGAGGCCACCTCCCTCCAAACTGCTCTTATCTCCACCTTGGCTAAGTGACACCACAAAGACACCACTCCTAAAGCAGGTTGTGTTTTCAGGTCTCCAGTTTACGATCTGGACACATGTTTGGAGGAAAGGAGACACGCAGTCCAGTCTTCTGCACCTGTGACTGGTTTGACCCCTCTGGGCTTCACCCTTGAGATGGCAGCCATGGCCGCATATGGGGGACCATGTTGGCTAAGCATTCCTGTCCTACCCGTGACCAGCAATCATTCCTAGGCTAAGAAGAAACAAAATCATGCCCAAGGATGCAACCCGGCGGTAGAGCGCTTGTGGAGCCTGCGGCCCTGGGTTCGGTCCTTATAAACGCAGTGCCTAAAATCCCAGTACTCAGGGGCAGAGGGTCACTGAGTTCAAGGCCATCCTCAGCTACATAGTGCGTTTGAGGCCAGCCTGGGTTGCCTGAGACCCTCACAACGAAACACCAGTGACACTTGCATTGTGGCAAGAGCCTTATCCTGTGATGGGGTATGTGTACCCCTGACAGCCAACAACCTGCCGCGGCAGATCCAGCCCTGGTTGTCCTTACCCCCTCTAGATCATAGAAGGCCTTCAGCTGGTGACGCCACTGCCTTCGCCTCTGCAGGAGCCCGCTACGACTGAAAGGCAGGCACAGGAAGCAAACCCAGCAGGCCATGCTGTTGATTCGTTCTGAGGTCCCGGGGCCCACCAGGATATCCACACACTCGAAACAGTAGCATCTAGAGTCAAACCGAAAACCACGGTGACCCAAATCATACTGCCATGGGGTGACCGCAAGGCAAGCCGGCCCTATGTTCAGGAGGGAACCCTCTGTTTCTCTCTGGGCTCACCAGAGGCTTGACTCTCAGTGCTCGGGGAGGGGGGGGATGGGGGGTGGGGGGTGGGGGGGTGGGGGGGTGAGCCTGGCCGTAGGCTGGGAAGGGGATGTGAGGTGGGTATACCCAAAATGGCGGACCTCACTCCCCTAAGCCTTCCCCTCAACCCTGAAGCCTGTACACATTTTAAGGGTTCTGAGAAAAACCATGTACAGGAGCAGCTGGCTGGGAAGGGGACCCTTGATGTCAGGGACGGAAGGACGGGGCAGGGATCGGCATGGATGGAGCTCAGAAGCTCAGGATGCTGATTTAACAATTTACGGTGATGGACCACCTGTGCCTGAACAATCCTGGTCCAAACTCATGGCCAGCAGCCCCTGATACAGAGTGCCAGCACCCACCCTTCTATTTCATAAGGACAGAGGGAATGGCCATGTGGTGGCATCACAGCTACACGCCCTCAGCACCCGTTTCTCATGCTGGGGGTGGCTCTTTTGAGAGGAGCAATGGCAAGTTGGGCTCTGCCTCACCTGGTACAGTCAGGGCTCTCACAGATGAACAGGGTGCCCCCAGAGCAGCAGATGGTGCAATAGCTCTGGTGTCCATCCTCGTCGTAAAGGAAGAGGGTCTCCAGGAACGTGTCCTGAGCAGGGAGCAACGACTGTGAGGGCATGCTCTCCCCGTCCAGTGCCAAGTAAGTCCCACGGCCTCCCTGCTTACCTTACACGAGGCACACATCCCCCCCTCAAATAAGGGGTGCTGCGTGTACACCTGGAGACTTCCACAACCTAGGCAGATGTCTGGAGAGAGCAGAGAGGGAAAAGAGTCAACAAAAACAGTCCAAGGACCCCGAGAGAGACCAGTGAAGACCCAAGAGGCATGTTAGGGGTCACAGATGGGAAGATTTGGTGGGAAAACAAGATGTCCCAAATGAAGGGCAGACGGCTCCAAACCCCAGATGACTTTCTGCAGATCTGACGTGTTGATCCTAAAATGCCTATGGAAGCCCAGGGACTCCCATATTGGCCAATCCAGAGAAATAGATCATTGGCCGAAGAGCTTGGAGTCCCTATGAATGGATACACATTTGTTTTGTTTCTGTTTGTTTGTTTTTGAGATAGGGTTTCTCTGTGGCTTTGGAGGCGATCCTGGAACTAGCTCTGTAGACCAGGCTGTCCTCGAACTCACAGAGATCCGCCTGCCTCTGCCTCCTGAGTGCTGGGATTAAAGGCATGCACCACCAACGCCAGGCTTGTTTGTTTGTTCTTTTGGGTTTTTTTTTTTATTGAATACACATTAAAAAAAAAGATTTACTTATGTAAGAGCACTGTTTCTGCACATACCCCTTTATACCAGAGAGGTCATCGGATCCCACTACAGATGGTTGTGAGCCACCACGTGGGAGCTGGGAACTGAACTCAAGACCTCTGGAAGAGCATTAAGTGCTCTTAAGGGCTGAGCCATCTCTCTAGCTCCTTTCTCCTCCTTTCTCTTTCTGACAGGGTCACATAGATCTCAAGCTGGCTTCAACTTCACTGATGATGACCTTGAACTTGTAGATCTTCCACTCCTGAATGTTGGGTTACAGGGTATGTCACCACACCCAGTTTACAAGGAGCTGGTGTTAGAACCTAGAACTTCCAGCAAAACGAGTAGACACTCTACCGAATTAAGTAGTGGATGATGTAAACACACATTTTCTTTGTGGGTGGGGTAGGGTTCAAGACAAGTTTTGTTTCTGAAGCCCTTGCTGTCCCAGAACTCGTTCTGTAGACCCGGTTGACCTCAACCTCAGAGATCTTCCTGCCTCTGCCTCCTGAGTGCTGGGATTAATGGGGCACACCACCATGCCCAGACACAAAACATTTCAATCACGTGTCTTAAATAAATCTGGTGCTGGGGTTAGGGGGAAGAGGAGAGGACAGACATCCCATGGGCACCAGGATTGTCCCACTTTCTGGGATGGCTGAGAGACTGAAGCAAGCTTTCTGGTGGGGACCGACACTGTTTCGCTGGGTCACAGGCAAACAAGCAAACTCACCTTCAATGTTCCGTCCGTTCACACCGACTTCATACCTGATGATCTCTGGAAGAGAAAAAGTGGCTCCTTTCCTTTCCTGGCTCCTCGTTGGAACATTCATGGTTCACTTGTCTTCTGAGGGGCCTGGGACACAGGAATCCTACCCCCCAACACCCACTGAATGCCTGCCCTTGTCTGGGGCGGGGGAATCCTGAATGATACAGGAACATTCCATGCATTGCCTGACTCTGATGTCCTAGTCCAAGAGATAAGTTCATTGCTTGGGTGGGGCCTTACCTCTGCCTGGCGGGGGTGAAGTTAAGGACAGCAGCTCCCGAGAGTCTTCCAGTACGATATCCACGCTGCACTCTTCATTGAGGACGGGGGCTGCAGATAGAGAAGGCTCCATCACAGAGCGCCCTCAGAGGGACTCAAGATAGATGCAGAAGAACAGTCAGCTACCCGTAGTCAACACGGACCAATGGATCCACTAGACTGCCCAACCAAGCCACGGTGACATCGACCCACCCATCTGGGAATTAGGAACGAGAAAAACTGCGACATCAGCTTCAAAGTGCTTGGTAAGAGAGAGTGGGCCCTATGGGATACCCATCACCTATCCAGTCCCAGCCACCATGTATTTGCAAGTGGGCTGCTTCCCAGTGTCCATGTGGCCATGCCTCCCTCTATACCCGGTAAACCCCTCTAGGACCCATGTTCCCATCTTCTGGTGACAGTGCAGACCCTCTGCTAAGGACCCTGTGAAGTAAGAGGAGGGAAGGGAAGAGGAGGGAAGGAGAGGGAAAGGAAGAAAGAGGTCTGAGGATCTCACAGAATTTCCGCCATTGCTCTTCCAGGTGGCTGGCATTGTCCGGGCTAGAGCTGTCCAGTGTCTCCAGGTCCCAAGTTCCAAGGGCCTTGGAGCAAGAAGAATTCTTCCGGGAACCCATGGAGGTTGTCCGCGAGAAGGATCCGTGTCCAAGGAATGGCGGGTGGCTGGAGACTTCAGGAGGTGTGTCAGCAGGGTCGTCAGAACCCTGCAATATGATGAGAGATGATGGGGGGGCGGGTGTAAAGGGCCGGGCTGGATTCTCTCGGGGCCTAGAGGGGAATTATGGGGAGGAAGAGAGAAGAAAGGTTTAAGGGACCTTCAGGCAAGTAGGGATGAGAGCGAAGTGCTGTATAGAGCCTATTAAGGGCCTGGGATGGTGGGGTTGAGGGTGTGGGGGCAGGCACTTAGGGGCGGGGCTTAAGGAGCCTAGCACGTGGGGGGGATTCAGGGAAGGAGTGGGGGTGGGGTGGATGGGGCGGGGCTGAAGGGGCTTAGGGAAACTTGTGAGTGGGAGAGGGGTTCAGGGTAAGGGTGGGGGAGGGAGAGAGTCTTCAGAGGAGGGGTTATGGAGTACTGTAGGAGGGCAGCTCAGGACTGAAATAAGGTGGGGTGGGGGAAGGGAGGCATTCAGCCTCACACACTCAATGCTGTTAGGGAGCCGGGAGAGAGATAGGGTTCCTGATTGTGTAGAGGGGGGATGGGTGGGGCCAAGGAGATACGGTGGGAGTAAAGATGACAAAGGGTTGGTGAGTGGGGGAGGGGAAGAAGAGAGCCTTGGGTTGAGACAAGGTCTGGGTCCCAGTAGGACTTACAGGACCACGAGGGTGATGCTGTGACTGCCCCTGTGGGTAATGTGGAGGGAAGCTCTGCCAAGCTCTTTCAGGGTGCTTAATGAATTATTCCTCCTACCTGGCCTACAGGGTGAATTCGTTCATCCAGGGTACCACAGTCTACTCCACTGGTTATAATGGAGGGCAAAAGTTGTGGGGAGACCCTGGGAACATGGTTCCCGACTCTAGGCTTCGATGGACAAGGCCAGTGACTTACACAAGGTTCAGTATGAGTTCGAGACCAGCTTGGTCTACAAGAACTAGTTCCAGGACAGCCTCCAAAGTCACAGAGAAACCCTGTCTTGAACCCCCCCCAAAAAAAGGTTCAGTATGGAGGTCACTATACAGTGAGACACTTGAATGCTCACCTCAGTCCAGAGATCCAGGCCAGTGCCTCACTGTGTTGTGAGGAACTGATGAGAACCTGGGCAGGTTATGGGAGACAGCCAGGTCCCCTGTCTGCATTTCAGTGCTAAGGAGTGGGGGTCCTGAGACATCACATTTGCCCAGCTTGCTAAATGACCCCTCCTGTCCCCGACACCTGCCTAAGTGCACTGCACAGTGATGGACACCGTGTATGCGACTGGGAAACATCTGTTTTGATATTTGGCACAAGCTACACATTTCTACAGATCTCTCCAGTAGAGGAGCCAGCATGGCCACCAGCCCGAAGCTGCAGGCGATGGAATAAACTGGTTAAGTCTCTCTGCCCTCGTCCTTCCTGATCTTCTCTTTTTATCTGTTTTGGAAGGGGTGTGGCGCTGGGAATTGAGCCAGGGCTTTGTGCTGTGTATAATCAGTGAGGCTCCACCAGCTGAGCTGTGGCGCCAGACTTCAGTTTCATTATTTTTAACATTTGGGGTTTTTTTTGTTTGTTTGGTTGTTTTGTTTTGTTTTTGTGACAACAGGCTGGCCTCGTACTCAGAGATCTGCCTGCCTATGACTCTGCTGGCATTTGGGTATTTTCTAAAAGACCTTGCAAAGAGGTTGGCAAGCCCTCACCATTGTCTTTTTCTTACTGATCTGGAGGCTCTTTTTGTTAAAGATACTAAGACATTCTCATGTAAATGTTA